CTTTCCCTCCCAGCTGGGAGGGTGCTTTTTGGGAGGCTTTTCCCTCCCTCTCCCTAGCAGTGAAGGGTGGTGCCCCATCCCAATCCTCCTTTCTCACTCCCTCTGAGACCCTGTTCCAGCGCCCTCCATGGTCTGAAAAAAATCCCTAATTCAGCATACCCTGTTTTCCAGGGTTGCTGGATTAAAGAGGTTCGAGTGTGGTAATTTGTGATATTTTTGCTTCAGCAGTACTTTTAAGATTTTTTTTTTTTTAAACAGCTTTAGAAACTGAATCAGCAGGACAGTGGTTTCACATCAGTGACACCCATGTGCAACCTGTGACTGTATCTAAAGTGCTGAACTCACAAGCTTATCTCCTGTTTTATGAACGACTGCTATAACTCTCCTGGGACCCATTCCTCACACAATACTGTATGGTTTTTAAACATCAAAAGTAAAGAAATGTTAAATCAGAGAAAAATTACATGTAAATCATGTTCAATAAGACTTGAAACTGTCTTCTGTAGAAAATCTCATGGCTCCTAGAAATACTGGCAAATGAAATATTAACTTATACTTTCCCAGTAGACCCATTGCTTTTAAATAAAAAGCTATTTTGTCTTTTTCCATAACTTCAAGTCTGAAGCATTTATTTTACTCTTCCTTTATATAATTACTTCTTTATATAATTATAAACACATTTCTAATATTGCTTTGAATGGAATTTTACTCTCTAGACACCTGTATTTAATTCTTTAAAGATGTGCTAGAATTTTTTTATAAGGAACTTACTAACTAACCACATATAGCTGTTTGTACTCCAGCATGATTAAATTAATGGAGATTGCCTATCTCCTAGAGCTGGAAGGGACCTTGAATGGTCATTGAGTAGTTCCCTGCCTTCACAGTAGGACCAAGTACTATCCCTGACAAACTTTTGCACCAAATCCTTAAATGGCCTCCGCAAGGATTGAACTCTCAACTCTGGGTTTAGCAGGCCAATGCTCAAACCACTGAGTTATCCCTCCTCCTATGATGGTGTAGAACAAACATCTTTGTAGAGACAAGTTGGGTTAGGTAATATGTTGTTAGACCAACTTCTGTTTGGCTTGAAAGATTTGTCTTTTATACACACACCTCTTTTTTGGAGCATATTGTACTGTCTCTTGCAAGGTCCCTTAAAATATGTGCCAATTATTCACGCAGAACATATTTCACCTTGCTGCAATTCTGGCAGTATCTTTTCCAGATCTGAAGAAGAGTTTTAAGTGGCTCAGAAGCTTGTGTCTCCCACTATTGGGCAAGCTGGTCCAATAAGAGATTACTTCACCCTTGTGCTGGGTCTGAGATGGCTACAAGTACTATACGTAATCTATTGTAAAGGCAGCTGGCATGACAGAGCTGTACCTTAAAACCTTTTATTGCTCAGGATAGAATCTACTGCTTATAGAATATCACTTCTCACTTGTGTACTATTCAGGAAAAAAATGGTCAAGCTAATTTAGTAATAGTAATGCTGCTTGCAGTAGATAAACTTTCATCTCCGGTCTAATTTCTCTTAGCCCAGATTTGAGTGAACAAAAATTGTTGCCATCTAATCACTCTGTAGGATCTGTAAGATATATTCTCTTAACTTACCAGATGTCAGTTACTATTGATAGCATTCTGAGTCTGAAGATGGAATGGATATAGGAACTGAACTTTGATGCTGTGCTCTGCTGAATATTGCAAATAGGACCAAAGGAACAGAAAAGGATTAAACGTCTACTATAATAGTTTTGAGATCAGCATCCTAGTAAGCCAGATGTGGTACAAACATAGCAAGTAGATAGTACCTCTGTTGAAAAAATAGATAGGCTGGGGGAGGAAATATAGCTACAGCAGGCTCAAGGTCCCACAATAGGCTTGTAGCTGGGCAGGGAATAATAATGATCAAGGATTGATTGATTCCCAGTGCAATGTCCTATATGTTTAACTAGGATGTCTTATTAACTACAGCATCGTGGATCAAAAGCTGGTGTGCATCCTTGACACTGAAGCGTACAGATGCTCTTTTGGCTAGAACACACTCTAGCCAAAGGACTAGGATCCTTTTTGTTTGACCTGTTCCCCTTTAAGTTTTTCAATTAAAAAGCAGGGTGTGGAAAAGGGTGTAGTTGATTGAGATTTTATGTATCACAACCATGTACCTTAATTTTCTAGAGAGTTTGTATACAGAACAAGTGGAATTAAGTTCTGCCCTCCTGCATAGAGAAAGTAGAAAGACTACAAGGCTTGTACCACACATACTGAACATAAAGCATTGATTGTCTTTCTATGTAATAGTCTTTTCATTTAAAAGATGGAGGTTTTGAGCCTGCTAGGTCATGCAAGATCTCCACTCCCTATACATGTTGGCTATGTCTAGACTGGCATGATTTTCCACAAATGCTTTGCTGTAATAGGGTTTCCAAACTGTGGTGGAGCAATCCCTATCTTGGCACCTGACCACCTTGCCAAGGCATACATTAACCACAAAAGGTACTGCATAGATGGTGGATCACAAGAGCCATTTCACCAACATCAACATAAGGTGATTGGGAAAGGTTCATGACACACATCTTTAAGAACTCCACCTCTTCAGAAAGCTGCAAGCTGGAATTTTCTTCCCAGACTGGAAAATTACCATTAGAGGCATTAAAATGCTAATAGTGATCCTTGGAGACCCAGCCTACCCCTGCGTCTGTGGCTCATGAAGCTGTACACAGGTAGCCTAGAGCATAGTAAGGAGCAGTTCAACTACAGGCTGAGCAAGTGCAGAATGGTGGTAGAATGTAATTTTAGACATTTAAAGGGAAGGTTTCACAGTTTGACTAGGTTAGACCTCAGCAAAAGCAACATTCCCACTGTTGTGGCAGCCTGCTCTGTGCTCCATAATATCTGTGAAAGTAAGGGGGAAAGTTATATATCAGGGTGGAGGCCAAGGCACAGCATCTAGCCCCTGATTGAGCAATCACACACCAGGGCAACAAGGAAAGCACATGGAGGGGCACCACAAATCAGAGAGGCTTTGAAAACACTTTGGCTACTTCTACACTGCGTTGTCTTGCACAAGAAAATATTCAAATGAGGCAAAGCGGTGAATATTGCTGTGCCTCATTTTCATACTTAATGAGCTGCCATTTTTGTGCAAGGGCCTTTTGTGCAAAAAAGAGACGTCTACAGGGCTTTTTTTCAGGCAGAATGGCTCTTGTGCAAGAGGGGGTTTTTGCACAAAAGGCCCCTGTGCAAAAATGGCAGCTCATTAAGTATGCAAATGAGGCACAGCAATATTCACCGCTTCACTTTATTTGCTTATTTTCTTGTGCAAGAGAGTGCAGTATTAGCCTTTGTGAATGGTCAGACAATGATATGATAGTCACATGTGGTGTTCTTAACTAGGAGTCCTCTGTATTAAACATACTTATCTGTAAACCGGCCCCCACCCCTTGCAACACAAGCAATAAATATCTTGTTGAGAAACCATGCACTTTTATCAAGTGAACACAAGGACGAAGGGTCAGAAAAGGAGTTCAGCACAGGAGCTTGGTGGAAGAGAAGTGAAGTGGCATATTACAGTCCCCCTGTTGGGGAATCGAACAGGTACAAGAGTTCTGTTACAGCCTATTGTTCTGGGATACATCCCTGAGGGTTGAGTGTAAGGCTGCCCTTGTCTCCCTTCTTCCTCTGCATTCTAGGGCCCCTTGGAGAGGAAGCTATAGCACTTGGTGAGAAGGGAATGTGGGTTAGCATGGGCCAGAGGAGGCACCTATACATCTGGCTGTCATGTGAGTCCACCTTGTGCATCATCAGATCCCCTGTGGCCATCAAAGCATTCTCTTGTGTCTTCACTTCAAGTTGCCTGCTCTTTTCTGTCCTTCAACAGCATTTTTCTCAACTCAATTGCTCCATGTCCAAGGGAGGGGGCAGATTACATTTACTCATTGAACATGTCATTACTACATTTTCGCCTTCAGATCTGTACTGAATGAACACTTCCTGTACCGAAAAGTCAAGGGCAGACTTTACGGGAGATACACTATGGTACATAGTACCTAATCTTTTTAGCATTGAGGGACGGCTGTTCAACATAATAGGCATGTGTCATGTACAAAGCCAAAGGTGTGCTTTTAAGTGCCTACCATGCAGCAGGTACACCACAGGGATCTGGGAGCAACTGGACTCAGTTTGGTGGGAGGTATGGTAGGGACAGGTTGGGGCTTGTTCTTGCACTTTGAAAGCATGTCAACACAGTGCTTGCAAATAGCAGCTCCTGCAGGTAGGCAAGCATATGCATTTGCAAAAGTGGGCTACGTATGTGGGAAGGCAGGACAGAGGATCACATGGAGACCGTGCCTCCAGCACAACCCCCTCCCAGGGAGAACAATGTTCCTTTCTTGCAGGAGCATGTGGACCTCAGGGGGAGGTGGGCTGGGTATGGCAGGGGCTCATGAAGACACCAACGAGCTTGCGGGAGATGGCTGGGGATGGCCGGCCTGGCAGGGGCTCAAGCCATGCTTTGTTGAGGATGAACAAACGGAAGTGTACTGTTGTGGTATCAGTTAGAGCTTCCCCTGCTTAATCCAGGTTGCCATGCACAATATCCGTTTTCTCCAAATCACACAGCGTGATAAGGAGCAGATGCTGACAATGTGACCAGAAACCTTACACTGCAATACTTAGTGCTTCAATGACAGCGTACCACTTACTGCTGGCTTGACATGGAAAGGTGTCCTACTTTGGAGGATGGAATAAAGCAGGCCTCCCCAGAAACCTTGTGAGGAGGATTGAAGATTTCCTTTATGGAGATGTGCAGGGAGACTTTCCACTGAGTCTCCAGACAATTTAACAAACGGTTTCAGGGAGCCTCTGCCACAGATTACACCCCATCCTGTAACCCATTTGTAGCATGATTAAAAATGTGGACTCAGCACAAGTAACCACCCTGCCATCAGTGTCTGGCAATAAGTTATCCTGGAAGGAGGAGATTGTCTCCAAAGTTATAAGTAGTCCTGGCTGTCAGTGAGCTCAGATGTTCTGCTCACCTGCTGACCATTCTCCTCCTCATCCACGCTGTCCTCCAAGCTGCTGCCCAAGGTTGCCTGAGGAGTGTCTTGGGAGGAATCCAGACTGCCTAGGAAAGATGATCTGGCCCCCGCGTAGGATCCCATGCAGCTGCTCACAGAAGCAGCATACTTGCAGCAATGACCCAGATGCCTCCTTGGACTTCTGGTATGCTGCCCTGAACTCCTTTGTTTTCCAGTGTCCTTATTCCACCAGGCAGGCCATATGCAATCTTGGCATAGGTATTAGCATTTCTTTTACTGCTTCATAGTTCTGCCTGAACTGATTCCTTTCCCCACATAGCAATGGGGCCCAGGATGGTCCTGTATCTCCATGCTGGTGCTCGTTTGGTTGTGGGCATTCACAGGCAGGTGTCCTGCCTGCTCTGAAGTATGCTCG